ACATCTCTCGGCTTCAACTCGTACGGCACCCAATGTCCTTGCTTTTGAATCATTCCTAATCCTTTTAAACGTTTCGAAACTGTTGTGTGATCAACTCCTAATGATTCTGCAAGTTCAGCTAGCGTCTGACATGAGTCTTCATGAAGTAATGCCTCTAATTCCTCGTCTTCAAACTTTTTTGGTGCGCCAGATTGTTCTTTATCTTCAACATCAAAATCATTATTTTTGAAGTGTCTAAACCAATCTCTGCATGTTGTTTCCGACAGAGCATGGTTGCTGTAAGTCTCAACAAGGTTTCTGTGTGCTTCAGTTGCAGATTTTTTTGAATAAAATAGTGCAATAAAATTCCCGGCAAATACTCTTTTTTGGCACAAAACTCGACATGTTTAACACAATGAAAAAATAAGTTGTTTACACTTTGGTGAAATGACATATACTGAATTTCAAGGTCGCTTATTGTACTTCCTTACAGATGCGTCACCATCTAAAAATAAACACATGTGGTTCTGGTAACGCCATTTGTTAAAAAACAGTGAGAACGTATTCAAGGTCCCTATACAAAAGTTAAATTAATCAAAATTAAATTACAGGAAACAAGTTTGTCAATATCATAAAAACAATTCTGCAAAATTCTAATTTATTCATAAAAGCTCTTAATGATTTCAGCATTTGAAAAGTTGTTTATTAGTTTACATTCATTTGTCATCATTAAATGGTATTAATCAACAATGACCTGTTGATTTTTGTAACAAAATAGTCCTGTTGTCTTCATATTGAAAATTTTATGAATGAACTATTCTCATTATAAAAATATTAACTATATAATCAATTAAGCATTTGGTTCAAACACAACCAACAACACTAGCCTACTACTAACCATACACTAGCCTATGTAAGCTTACTGGATGGGAACAGATGTAAAAAAGGATACTCTGACAAAATTTTGTTTAAAAAAAAAAAAAGAAAAAAAATGTATTTTCTTAAAATTGTAGATAGTATATACTTTATATGTTAATCTTATGATATTTTAATTGTATTTTTTATACAATATTGTAAAAAAGTAAAATTTTTAATGGTGTTATGTGTTCAGAAGAACCAGCTTCAGTTTTTTTTAAAGAATGCAGTATAAATGTGGTGTTTCACATACATAATTCAAACATTTAAATCATTTCTAAATTCTGTTTGAAATAAAGATCAAAAACATTTGTCAAAGATTTCTAACATTGGTTTCATTAATTAGGTTTTCTTCTTTTTTATTTAATATTAAATCTCCTTTATATTAATTTCATATTTAAATCAATAATATTTGTAAGAAAATACACATGTATAACTTTTTAATATTAGCCATAATTATTTTTCATTTAAAGTTTTTAATCTCTTTGATACATTCATTAGCTAAGAAAATATACAAAACCTGGCAATGTAGAGTAATAAATAAATAAATAACAACTGCTTTTTTAGTACACAAAAATACCTAAATTTCAATGAAATGCTCAAAGCACCTGCAATCCCTTGAAAGACAAATCTAAAATATGAAGAATGCCCTATTCAATCCACATTATTTGAAAATAATTATTATTCTTTGTTGTGTATCAGTTTGATCATCATTCTAGTTCTAAGTCTATTAACTTTCATTAGTAAATATCCATCTTAATAATCTAAGAAACAAAAAATTGTATATTTAAATAACTTATAAGAGCTAGAAAAATATTTAATGTTATAAACATTTTTGGAAATAAGTAATTTTGTAATTACGTGAAGCTAGAGTAGTAGCTTCACATAATTACAAAATTACTTAAATAAATCAAATATTTTTCTCAGCATTCAAAAATAGAACAGCATGGATTCACTGCATTGTACTTGATCCATTATATTCAATGTATTCAATGCTTGATGGAAATCACTTGAATTTGAAAGCTAATAACATTCTGATATTTTCAGACTACGTTTATTACATAATTTTTCTATTATATAACAGAAAAATTATTTACATAATAATTTTTAATATTCTTAAGATCTCAAATAAGACCTCAAATTAAAGACAAGAGTTGAATAGTTGAGGAAATAACATTTGAAGTGAAGGGAATGTTTAACATTTAGAAATTAACTCAATTAATTTCTTCCTATATAAATGTAATAACTAAGACAAAACATAATCTATAATGCAAGTGTCACACATATTAAATGTCATTGAGATGTAATACCTTAAGTAACTTCATATCATTTTAATAACAATAGTGATAATCAGTTTATTGTAATTTGATTGCGGTCAAGAAATATATAAAATGAAATCATCTATGGGTTCAATTATTATTTTTTAATCCTTCCTGTATAATGTGAATTTTTACACCTAAAGATATTGTTGCAATAGTTATGTTAAATATGTTAAAAATATATTCTTCACAATTAAACAGTTTTTACAGCATAACAATTATTTATACAAAATATTAAATGAATAAATAAATTAATATTTTCACAAATTATCAAAACTCCTAAAATTTTTATTAAATAATAATAAATAAGAATTATGAGTTATAATTTTGTAATATTTTTAAGTACCTACTGCTGTTAAACAAAGTTCCACAGCTTGAGAGTACAGTTCTACAGCTTCTTCATTATTATCTGCTTCGTCTTCATCAAACGCCTGATGAAGGAGAAATTCAGCACGTTCTAGTTCTGACTGCTGATTATTTTTCTTAGTTTGCAATTGATTTTGACAAGAAAACTCTGAAATATATATATATATATATATAAATCAAAATTAATAAATCTATCATTTTTAATTAGTAAATCTAAGTTTTAATTAACTAAAAAGATTAATGCACTAAAAAATTAAACTGCAATAATTTTAAATTAATTCAATCAATAAGATTTTAACTTGCAAACACTGACAACTATTTTATTTTTGATGCTTAAAAACTGAAAATGAAATGAAAAACTTGGAACTATTTCATTTTAATAAATTTTCATTTAATTAAAATGTACTTTTACATACAAACTTTTTAACTCTTCCATCTTATAGGTAGTGAAAAGGCATTTTTTATGTCTGTCAGAGGTCTGACCATACCTGTAATAGAATTGCTGGGTGGCAAATAGAGCTCAACAGAGTTATTTGAGTCAAACTATCCAAAAAAATTTCTGAATAGAATTGGATTCAAATCCGAGTCTCTCAGAGAGGATGGCTAATCCCTTTACTACTTCAGCTTCATTATATACTATTTATACAAGGTGATTAAATGAAAAGTTTGCTTATGAGGAGTAGGCTCTGTGATGCTGTAAGCCAATCAGGCTTGTTACTATTCTCCTACATATTACGTGACACACAAATCTTGAGCATTTATTTACTACTAACTAGAGGGAAATCTGAAACTCTAAATAGACAAATTAGTGATGTGGCAAATCAGTCAGACATCACAAACTCCCATTATTAGCAGGTCTACTCCTTTCAAGTAAACTTTTATTTAATTATCTGGATTACTATAATAAACAATCAAACTTAAATTAATGTTCAATTGGAATTTAAACATATTCTTTTTTTTCTATAATTTAAAAACATTAACTCACTTGTCCTTTTTAATTCTTCTAGTCTCTTCATATATTCATTTTTTTTCTCATTAAGATTGGGCACAGCTGATCCCAGTGATTGTGCAACATTCAGTAACTGTGCAGCTTCCTGTAAATATATATTTTATGTAAATTTTAAAATGTATAACAAAAATTTTTACATTTACAAACAGAAAACTTAAAATATATCATTGTTTGGAAATAATTTTTATATAAATACAATATCCAAAAAAACTGGAGAAACAGATAACTAAAAGAAAAACAGCCTTTCTCAATGCCAGCAAATTCAATTTAATGAAAAAAAACAAACTTTTGATCTAGATTAATATATTTTTATCAGTTGACACAAAAATAGAATGATCTAAGAATTAGAATACAATTACAAATTTAAGATTTGACTAAAAACGTATTGTTTAAAGTATGCAATAGGGAAGCCAAATTCAACATAAAATCCATATTGGCATTACAATAAAATATCAATAGAATAAAATAAAATGATGAAACAAAAGTTATACATTAGATAAAATTTAAAAAACACAAAATAAAATTAAGGTGCTTGCTAGTCATCATATTACAGTTCATATAATATATATTTCGTTATTTTATTTTATTGTATCATATTGTAACTCCAATATGAATTTTACATTAAATTTGGCTTGATATGTGACACTTTAAACAGTACATCTTTAGTCAAATCTTAAATTTTGTAACTGTATTCTAATTCTTAGATCATTCTATTCTTGTAGAAAAATATTTTTGTCATTAAACTGATTTGTTAGAATTAAAAAAAGTTGTTTTATTTTAGTTAATTTTCATGTTTCTTCTTGAGTGAAATAAATCTCTTTATCTGACAGAATGTTATTGATATTCATATCTAGTTTATAGTCTAGAGCAGGGGTGGCCAACCTTTTTAGCAGGCGGGCCAAATTTCAGAAATAATATTTCCTGCCGGGCCACGCACCTAATTTTTTTTAAAATTAAAGTAAACAAGCAAGTGTGCTACAGCTTCAACCGCATCGTTGCTTTCCAGTAGGTGAGATCGTGGTCAAACACTTGCCTGGTTTAATGTAAAAAAAACACAAAAAATAGGTATATTTATTTTTTTGAAGAAAATAAAACATAACCGAGAATCATTTATTTAATAACCGAGAAACATATTTATTAGACAATTTAAAAATATTTAAAAGTGAGACATCTGACTTTGTTTTACAGAACTAACAAGTAAGTGCATCAAAATTGATCTGGACTGATGTTGTCGCTACACGCAAACAGTTTTCCAAATGAACATCAGTAATTCGTGTTCTCACTTGTGATTTGATGTACTTCATACGACTAAAAAGTTGTTCACACGCATAAGTGTTTCCAAATAGCGAAACCATTGACAGAGCATGTTTGTAAAACGCAAGATATTTATCCTTGTCCAAATACGTTTCATAGAACTCTTCCAAACCTTCTTAACTCTTCTAATGTTCATTTGGTGATATGTACAATAAAGTTAACATTTATGTTCATTTGACCTAGCTCTGCGGGCCGCAACACGACTCCCGGCGGGCCGCATGCGGCCCGCGGGCCTCATGTTGGCCACCCCTGGTCTAGAGCAATGGATCCCAATTAGTAGTACACGTACCCCTGAGGGTATGCGAAATTGCATAAAGGAAAACGCGTGGCAATCTAAAATTAGTCGATTTAAAATTTAAATGCATGAGATGAAGCAATCAAAAAAATAATGGGTGGACCATCTAAAATTAGGCAATTTACAACATGATGTGGAATGCACAAATTTGTTTATTTATAACTAAAAATATTCTCGAAATTTCATCAAAAAAATGATTTGTGACAATACCTAAATGAAATTCTTGCGCAAGAAACAAAAATTGTACAATTAACACAATTTGTGTTAATTGTACAATTATCATTATTATCATGTCAGCGAAGCGGCAATAAAATATTTACTACCATTTTGCACAACATACCTCTGCGAGAGCAATTTTTGGCCATGACAAACATGAAAACTAAGCATTGTCACCGACTTCAACTCGAAGATGACTTGAGACTGAAGCTGACCAAAAAACAACCAGATTTTACAAAGTTGTGCAAAGAAAATTGTGCACATTTGGTACATTAAAATTAAATAACATTATGTTATTTTCATTATTATTAGAACTGTATTTTAAAGGTAATAAATGTAAAAAATTTATTCTATTTATCACTTGCTGTCTATTCACAGCTTCACCCGCATTATATCGAATTTTCTCATGGGAGTAAGATATTTTCTCATGTTCAGAAGAACCAGCTTCAGTTTTTTTTAAAGAATGCAGTATAAATGTGGTGTTTCACATACATAATTCAAACATTTAAATCATTTCTAAATTCTGTTTGAAATAAAGATCAAAAACATTTGTCAAAGATTTCTAACATTGGTTTCATTAATTAGGTTTTCTTCTTTTTTATTTAATATTAAATCTCCTTTATATTAATTTCATATTTAAATCAATAATATTTGTAAGAAAATACACATGTATAACTTTTTAATATTAGCCATAATTATTTTTCATTTAAAGTTTTTAATCTCTTTGATACATTCATTAGCTAAGAAAATATACAAAACCTGGCAATGTAGAGTAATAAATAAATAAATAACAACTGCTTTTTTAGTACACAAAAATACCTAAATTTCAATGAAATGCTCAAAGCACCTGCAATCCCTTGAAAGACAAATCTAAAATATGAAGAATGCCCTATTCAATCCACATTATTTGAAAATAATTATTATTCTTTGTTGTGTATCAGTTTGATCATCATTCTAGTTCTAAGTCTATTAACTTTCATTAGTAAATATCCATCTTAATAATCTAAGAAACAAAAAATTGTATATTTAAATAACTTATAAGAGCTAGAAAAATATTTAATGTTATAAACATTTTTGGAAATAAGTAATTTTGTAATTACGTGAAGCTAGAGTAGTAGCTTCACATAATTACAAAATTACTTAAATAAATCAAATATTTTTCTCAGCATTCAAAAATAGAACAGCATGGATTCACTGCATTGTACTTGATCCATTATATTCAATGTATTCAATGCTTGATGGAAATCACTTGAATTTGAAAGCTAATAACATTCTGATATTTTCAGACTACGTTTATTACATAATTTTTCTATTATATAACAGAAAAATTATTTACATAATAATTTTTAATATTCTTAAGATCTCAAATAAGACCTCAAATTAAAGACAAGAGTTGAATAGTTGAGGAAATAACATTTGAAGTGAAGGGAATGTTTAACATTTAGAAATTAACTCAATTAATTTCTTCCTATATAAATGTAATAACTAAGACAAAACATAATCTATAATGCAAGTGTCACACATATTAAATGTCATTGAGATGTAATACCTTAAGTAACTTCATATCATTTTAATAACAATAGTGATAATCAGTTTATTGTAATTTGATTGCGGTCAAGAAATATATAAAATGAAATCATCTATGGGTTCAATTATTATTTTTTAATCCTTCCTGTATAATGTGAATTTTTACACCTAAAGATATTGTTGCAATAGTTATGTTAAATATGTTAAAAATATATTCTTCACAATTAAACAGTTTTTACAGCATAACAATTATTTATACAAAATATTAAATGAATAAATAAATTGATATTTTCACAATAAGCATCGGAAATATGTTAAAAATATATTCTTCACAATTAAACAGTTTTTATAGCATAACAAATATTTATACAAAATATTAAATGAATAAATAAATTGATATTTTCACAATAAGCATCGGAATTGATTGTTGTGCCTCTTGGCATAAAATCCACTAAAAAAGTCCCTTTCCTATCCCAAAAGACAGTTACCATGATCTTTCGTGCTGAAATCAAATAACAGATCGTATCTTACAGTTGGCGGGCGACTCAATTTTCTTAAACATTATAAACTTCTACAGTTCATCACACGGACAGACAATACGGCTGCAAATAGCATCTAAACACACACAAAGCATGCCAAAAGCAGAAGCTCGTGCACACTGCTGCAATCACGTGTCATTCTCACTCTCATTCACAAATGGACCTTATTTTAATAACTCAATCAGAAAATCAGCAACTTAAAAAACTAAATTTCATAACAAATATATTAAAAGTTCTTGACAGCTCTCAAAGTTTACCAACTTTGGAATGTATCTACTGATAAAATCCTATTAGGTTAAACTACAAGTAAAACAATAATAAATTATTATTCAATTCCTATAATAAAGTATATCAAAATTTTATCAGTAAAATGATTTAAGGGGTTGTATCTTTTTACTTTATTTTTAGAATGTATCTGAAAATTTTAAAAATATTTACATTAAGACTTTTGATTTACTTAATATGTGAAATTTTATTGTTCTTTTTCATCCTTAACATTACAATTTAAAGTTCAATACATATTCACCACCTTTGTATCAGTGTCAAAGGAAACCTTAACTAAGAGAACATACCAAGCTGAATCCCAATTATTTAATATAAAAGAGACCTATAAGTGATTGAATTAAAAAAATGTCAGAAAATATGAAGAACAGAAATGAACAGAAGAGACAGCAAACAAATTTCATATTCAGTGTAAATTCATCATAAATATGAATTACAGGTTTATGAATTATAAACAGATTTACTAATAACTAGCAGATGAGCCAAGCGTTGTTCGAGCAAAAAATAACAGCAGCAAAGATTAAGATTATTAGATTATTTCATACTTCTAACTCTTATATTATAGTGTTTGATTTATATAACTACAAAGATTATCTTATGTAAGAGTTGATAAACTCTTACACAAGATAATCTTTGTAGTTATATAAATCAAACACTATAATATAACAAACATTAAAATGAAAACCATATAAAGAGTTTGGTTATTTCAGCCTACATTGCCATATTTATTGCGATACTTGAATGGTGCAAAATGGCACAATTTCATTGGTCAAGTAGACACCAATTGAAAATGTGATGTATTAAATTTTTTAACATATGATATCTTTTCCTAATGCTAACTCTAAAAACTGGTACCATTCACAGCCAAATATCAAGTGGTAATCTCCCAATGAATCAAATTTTGCAAAATATGAAACAAATATTTAAACTCTGCACGATCAAAAACCACTTAAAACATATTTTGTGCAGGCTGGTAACCTTGTATTATGTAATTTTCCTATTCAAATGTTACTATACCAGTGGGTCCAAGAGAAAGAAACTGTTGCAGAAGGGAACTGAAGTAAATTCAACCGAAAGTAGTCATTCAACTCCTCCTGGGAGAGAGGATGGTCAATGACGACTAATTAATACTGGTCTATTATTAATAATTGAAAAGTGATCCATGTTGGATAGTTTGTAATGGCCCCACATGTAATCAAAGTTGCTAACCTTAACATCGTAAAGATTTCATATGACTTGTTTAAATAAAAAAATCTTGTAAAAATGTGAGAATAATTGCTTTTATGTGATAATAAAGTGTTTAAATTTTGGCAACAGATTGTATGAACTATGTGGAAAGTCATAAATATTGCATTTATTGAAAAATTATTGTACTGCAATTTGAAAAAATCACAGACCTATAAATTCCCACTGTTGTCCCATTGTCCTTCCTTAATCTCAATAAAGGAGTTAAATAGATGAAAGTTGAGACTAGATATGGAAAGCTTAGGAGCAGGAGACCTAGAATGTAGGATATAAAAGATAAAATATTTGAATTGAACTAATGTGACTTCTGATGCAAACCAAACATTCCTATATAGGAAAGTTTGGTTTGCATCAGAAGTCACATTAGTTCAATTCAAAATTTTTTCCTGAAAGCAGTTAGATAGATAACAGATACAACTCTATTGCTAACATGGAAAGTATGATGTACAGGGGCAAGTTCACCACTAAGAATTGAGAACATTGTGACAATGTCACAATAAATAATCACTCAGAATTTGTTTAGCTTATTTGGTTACAGTAATGTGACATGCGAGTGATGTGCCAAGGGAAAGACTTTTATGGGAAGCTAGACCCTATTTAGATGTTACTAATGTGAAGAAAATCTGGAAAACTCCATGTGGCCAGCCTGCTGGCCATGCCTGATCCCATGACTAACTTCCAGTGTTCCAGTAGTTTTATCCACTTGACAACTGGAGGGCACTTTTTAGAATTAAGAACATACCATTCAGAAATGAAAAAACCAGAGTTGTTAGATGTGGAAAATTATACTTATATACTTACTATAAACTTTTCATAGGGCAACACTTTTGATCCATGCAGGCAAGTACTATATGCTACCTGGCACAGTAATGATATAGCATCTCTATTTCACACTATATCATTATCACAGTAATTAAGTGAAAATAATTCTTACAAAAAAGTAAGAATTCTATTTACTTTATTATTTTGTTAAATTTTTTGCCAATAGAGGACACTATGTCTTAATCAGCAAATCAAGTATCAAATGTAGATAGAAATGAATTGATTTGCTGAAATCCAATAGATATTTTGGGGTGGGATGTACAACGTTATCTAAGTTAGACGTATGTGAATGTAGCAATTGGTTGAACGGCCTAGAACTGTATAGCAAACAAACATCTTTATTTATATATGTAGATTACTCAATTACGGTCCATTTCAAAATAAACACACCCAACTTTCTTCAATAACAAAAGCATTAACAATTGTAATGCATTTATTATATTAATATATTGTTTACAACATCAATTTAAACATTTTCTGAAATTTTTAGAGCAATCTGACAATTACAAAAAAATTATCACAGATTTTAAATTTTTGATTTTTTCAAAAGTATAAACACATGTGCACAAAAACATAATTTGTGATGTTTCAATATTTTGTAGGTCCACCATTTGATTTAATTAGTTCAAATACTCTATCAGACATACATTTCACTAGTTTTTGAAGTTGTTCTTGTTTAATATTTTTCCAACAATCCATGATAGCTAATTTTAATTCATTTACAGTACTGTATTGTCTGTTTCACCATAAACAAGATGACTCATAATGCCTCAAACATTTTCTATTGGTTCATATCAGGGGTCCATGATGGCCAATCAATTACATTAATTTTTTTTCAGCAAACCAATTTTTAGTTGACTTTGATGTATGAATGGCAGGATAATTCCTGCCATTCATACATCAAATTCATGAATGGCAGGAATTATCCTGCCATTCATACATTAAACTGTAAAGCATCACTTTCTTTATCTTTTCATTTGGTGTCTTCCTCAAATAATAAAATTATCTTAAGAGGAAATAAATTGAAAAAATGAAATATTGCAATAACAATATTGTGCTATATAAATATAAACCACCAGGACAAATGAACAAATGAAGCAATGTCCATTATATTGTATAATGCACAATACAAAAATAATGAGATTAGTTTCTTAGTAAACTTTATCAGCACCTTATATGTTACATAATGGACTAATTAACAAAGTAACTGTGGAATGAATAAAATGATAAATGTAAAGCATAACTTTGTAAATAGCATATTATATAATTATATAGAATAATGTGAAATTTCAGATAACTGAAAATCAGATAATTAAAACACTACTGTAATAATACTCATGGAAAATAGTTTTTGTTTAATAATAATAATTTTTAAAACAAGCAATTATTTTATTGTGGCATCACAATGCCAGGCTGCAATTTAAAATATATGTTCTCCACCTCAATTAAAAGTATCTTGCCCCTGTACATCATACTTTTTTCTGTTAGCAATAGAGTTGGACCAATCATCTATCTTAACTCCTTTCAGAAAATATTTTTAAACTGAAATAATGTAACTTTCAGTGCAAACCCAGAAGTTCATATATGTGAGGTCCCAGACGAAAGTTGATTTAGAGGTCCAAATATGGACTATCAATTGAGAAATTAAAGATCTCCTTTTCAGACACGAATAGGAAGAATTAAAGGTCTCAGTTGAACAATAAGGGTTTCTTTTTGTAAAATATTAAAACAAAGGAAAAATGGTGTAGAAAAGACCAAAGTCAAGGGAAATGTGGTTAGAGAGGAGTTGAGTTTAATTGTGACGTTGACCTCTCCTGTGCCCTCCAACAGGTTTTGAGTTGTCACCAGGTAACGATGAGAGATCAATGAAAACCTGACTTTGGGTGTAAAACATATAAAACCACATGATTCAAGGACATGACATTCTTGGTCCGTAGTTCATTGATCCTGTAAATTGGTGCTTTACGGAGAGAGCATCGAGAGATTTACCATCAATTTGGGAAAAACTTGCGCCCTTGGGATTCATCCGTACTTGCCGAGGTTCATCTTTTCTCCCAAGACTTTTGCCCGAAGCTGTGCTGCAAGCCCCATTGCTGTCAATCACAACATCTGTCATTGAGGGACAGAGGGAAGAACTCCCTACTGAATGTCATACTCTTGTGTGGACTTTAACTCGCTCCCCAAGCTGTGTTACAAAGAAACTTTGCAAAATGTTGTAAGAAACATTTTGTAATATAATAAACGGGTTAAAAGATGGAAAGCCTGTCTCAGAGAGTTTTTCCACTCCCACATGACAGTCGTGACTGCACAATAATCTTGATAAACACACCCAATCGGCTAACCTCACATGTATAATTAATCTGGGCCTTGTGTCCCTAAGCTTTCCATATCTGGTCTCAATTTTCATCTATCTAACTCCATTCTCAAGATTAAGGAAGGATAGATGGACAACAGTAGAAAATTATAGGTCTACAATGTTTTCAAATTGTAGCCCAATAATATTACAAAAAATATATATAGAGCACTCTTACTAATCTAAATTAACTAATGAGCAAGATTGTTTTGGATTAGCAGGGTTATAAAGAAGTCAAAAAAGATTATAGAAAATTCATTATATAATTTATTAATTATTTAAATAACAATAAAAATTCTATTCCTTCCTAAAAATTTTAACAAACTCATATTTATAAAAGAAATTTATGATACATATAATGAATAAAAAGATATGCATTAATTTTACAAATTTGTCATGTTTCTTGTTTTTGACAAGAATATTCAAAGGCAAAGTAAAACAGATTGGTCAGAGCACATTATATATGGATATTTTTTGTTTTTTATTTTTTCAAGCAATATGACATACCTGGTAATAGTAAATAGCAGCATCAATATTATTTTCACTGTCACAAGAAATTGCAAGTGTTGCTAATTCAACAGCTAATTCAAGAGAACGAGATCCTGAAGGATCTTCATAAGCAGCCATGTTCAATTCTGAAATTAATTTCAATCATCATCTTAAAATATCAAGCATTAATCAATTTATATTATATGGAAAAAATACACAAAATAAAAAAAATGTTTCTTATCAAATATGTGAAAATCAATAATAATTATCTTTGATATGTACAAAAATTTAAAGAAATTATGCAATTCAAATAAATTATTTTATAATTTTCAAACACAGAAATAATGTATAAATTCTGTCTTATCACTAATACTCAATACACAGGAAATAATACAGTTTTTACACTGCAGATTCAATAACTAAGGCAATAAATCATCTTACATCATAAGGATATATTCAAATATTGTTATATGTAAAACCAAATACAAAATTTAAACTGCAATATTTTTCAACATAATTGTCACTGTTGATCTAAGGATTTATTCCAACATGACACCAGAACATCAAATCCAACATAGAAGAAATCACAGTCAAACTCAGTCAACCAAGAAGTTAATGCTTTTTAAACTTGGGATCTGTTCAGAAATGCTTACCAGTTCAACTGTTGAGAATAGGCATCATTCAAAAACATTACCTATAAAGATTCCAGAGATATACTAGTTCAGGCATGGCCAATATATGGCCCATCTAATGAATTTATGTGGTCCATAATCAATCTTTCAATATTAGCTACTCAAGTCCAAATAGCTCAAAGAAAAATTCTGACGCCTAAAAGAAAAAAAGGTCAACAACTCACTGTGCGTTTAGAGTTAATGTCCCATTACAAATCTCTTAAGTACAGCGTAGATAATGCATGATAATGTGAAAAATGTATCTGTAATCTCTATGTACAATTTAGCCTCTACGGGGTGACACCACAATGAGATCTCGCACCACCTCAAAATCTTCCTAGAGAAGCCTCTGGTTCGGCCTGTGAAAAAAGTTTTCTTTCCAATTCGACCCAGGGCAAAAATTATCGGCCATCCCTGTACTAGTTGCTGCCAGATTTGCCAATCTTCAAGAATTGGTTACAGAATGACCGACCAACTACTGACAATGTCATTCCCACTACCAATTGATTGGTAAGCATTTCCAAATAGATCACTGGTTCTAAGTAGCAAAACATGGCAAAATGTTTTCTCATAAGCCCAAAGAAATAAGTCCCTCAGTATCAGGTCAATGTTATGAGACAAATAGTTTAGCACCTCAAATTTCAATTGCACAATGTTTTGAAACCACAAGAGGTAATTTTTGTTGATTTTCTCAGATAGGAAGACACACTAAATGTTAATTGTAACATTCTGAATCATTTGCAGGTTATTCTTTGGAAATGATTCAGTCTGTTGCATCAAGGTATAATCTTGCTCCATGATAATGTCAGATCACACACAGTCAAATGCATTCTAAAAACTTAAGGAACTTCAAATTAATACTTGAAGTTCATTTGGATAATGTTAATTTTAAACTGGCTAATTATAACAGTTATTCATCACTAATATTCTAAAATTATGCCTGCCTTCATATTATCAAAAATGTAACAAAGATGAGCTTTTATCATCAGCTGCCAACTTGACTTCTAACAAAACAGAAAAAAATCAGCTTTCTCATTTTATTAAATATATATCATGCTTTTTAAACTGCAAACTTTCAATGAACAGTGTTAAAATGTCAATAAAAAGCAATAACTTATAAAATAAAATCACTTTAACTTGAAGAAATTCAGTTTTAAATCATTTATGATTTATGAAAATTAGCCAATATAAACATTACATTATTATATTAATTAAGTAAATATACTACATGTCACATTTTAGATACAGAATACTCTCAAAGTAGCATACACTTGACAAAAAATAAGGTAAGAAAAAATAAAAAACTCAACAACTTTTACAAGATTTAGTAAATTAGTAGTAAAACAGTTTAAAAAAAAATAAATTTATTCAGCATCAATCATAAAATATCTGAGCATAAACAAAACAGTGCTTAAAATAAATGTTTTGTTTCTTGTAGAGAAGATTAAAAATGCTTTTATGATATGAAGTGTATTAACAGCAAAAATTTATTTGCTGACATATATTTAGCACATTGAACTGATGTTACAGTATACTATAGTAAAATCAAATAGCTACTAAAGGTATATAATAAACAAATTATGAAGTTCTTCATAACAAACATTTGAAATTCAAAAATTAGACTAATTTTCAAAATNAGAGAGGTCAGGACACGTGCTGACGTCACTAACTTGCCATTCCTGGCTAACACTGTAGAATAGGGATCTGGCTATCCTTGTAGTATACAGTCCTTGTACTACATTTCTCCTTTCCTTCCTTGTACTTTTTTCAAACTCCGCCCTGTGGACACTAAGAAGGCTTCTTTTAGCAGGACTGGGCTCACAATGGGATTGATATGGCCGCATAGTGAGGGACGGGAACCGACATATCCAGTCGAACCACCCCGAAAAATTCCTATGATTCGATTCCGAGTTTCCCAGAGCGGCAGCTGCCACCTTGACCGTTCGGCCATCCGGCCGTATTAAAAAAAAATCTTTTTTTTTTTAACTCTTTCCGCCCTGTGGGCATTAAGAGGGCCTCTTTTTGCAAGCCCATTATGGGTTCGGCCAGGTCCACGATGGGGCTGCCTGGTGGTGAGGGACGGGGCCCGACATATCTGAACGACCACCCCCCGAAAATTTCCTGGGGATTTTTCGACCCGTTCGGATTCGAACCCGGATCCCCCAGCTTTCTTTCGTGTCAACTTATTGATGCGAATTCGGTTCCCCAACTTATGCTTACACCGAAAACAAATTTAGAAATGGGTTGGACTTTTGAAATGGGTTTTATTCCCGACGGCTAAATAGTAAATCCGAGATTGCGCGCCACCTCAGATTTATGTATTCAGTTGTCGGCATAAAGTTCAATCTCAAAACCATTTTAAATACAAAAACGAAACAATTTCGATCATCGCATTAGATATAAGTCAATGTTTTTTTGTAACCGAAATAAAGGTTTGTGGTTACATCTTAAAAATGTTTTCTTTTTCTTTCCAAATCTACTACATTATGCAAAATCTAGGCATTATAGTAGATGAAAGAAGGAAGAACGTTGTGGGTTCACAATACTCGGTAAAAATCGGGAATAGAGTTAGGCTAAGCGGAAAATTAGGAATTGCTGATATAAATATTACAGGATAAACAGTAACACCAGCGGAATTGGAATGCCTGTAATGACTCAAAACTAAAATGGCAGACAATATCCTTAACAATATAACAATATACTAAACTTTATTCAGAATTTAGTAGAATTATTCAAAACATAAGATATTCTGTTATTTTGTGACAAATAAGAAGAAAGATTGTTGTCTTTGAATTGTGTCATTAAACAAGCAATTCTCATCGATCTATTTTGTATGAAAATTTTCTTTATTTTCTTCATTTGTTAAATGCTTTTATTAAAAAATCCAGCAACGGGTTGCTTAACTTTCCCGGCGACATTTGGTGACGCCATCTCTTATCGTATTTTACTAAAAACAATTTTATATTTTTAACTATTATAAAATAGCGAAAAGCTTAATTTTGAAAATAAGAATGGGTTATATAAAAAATTTTAAATGCCAATACCAGTAAAATTGTCACAAGTCCGATACCGGCGATACACACGACCCCTATTATCTCCCCACTCCCTCCACTTTTAATCACCAAATTTTAATAGCATCAATCTCGTAATAAACAAACATTTCTGCGAAATTTCAGAAATTTTCGATAAAAAGCATAGAAGTTATTGAGCTTCAAACAGGGTAAACAATATTGTGCTACACACACACACTAACATCGATACGTACAGAAATTACCTCAGAATTGTTTTTATTTTTATTTATTTATTTTGCATTTCTCGACGTTTCAAGCTGTCCTAAGTCCAAAAATTTAAAAATCGGGGGGTCATTTTTTGCCGGATCGTCATACTTTCCCTCTGTATAACAGCCGGGAAAGTAAAAAAAGTAAATCCGCGATATTCTAAAAATAATTTACGAAATACTTCACGCGTTTGACAGATTTGGTTAGGTATGAGATGATCGTAATTAAATTACTCGTATTCGGCATTGTCTGGAGAGATATATAGCGGTTTAAATAAAACGAAATCTAGTTTTGTGCCATCTTACGACATACGGAAGATATTGGTGCTTCGAACCACAAACATTGCACTTGTACGAGGCAATCGGGCTATATGGAAATTTTAACGATGCCGGGAACACTATTCAATGCAGTTTCCTTGTTAAATGTGCTAATTTAAAACGAATTATTCGAGTTCATTTTCAGAATTAGTTAATTGCTTATAAATATTTATATGAAGGTAGAAACAAATAAGCTAACATTTTTCTATATCCACTTGAATTTTGCTATACAGTACAGTATTTAATTTTTTCTTTTATATAATGATTAAAAAGAAACAAATAAGAATAATCAAATTATATAATTAGATCTCGCTTTAAGACTGCAAGTTTTATAACCTTCACTTTTATGATATTTATGATGTATAAAGTTCCTTTTATTATGACTAAATGGAATACCGCATTCTTCCTTGTTTCGGTCATCTTTTTATAGATCATATAGTTCAGTGTTTTTCAACCTGTGGGTCGCGACCCTCAGGAGGGTCCCAAAGCCTTACAGGGGGGGTCGCGGGTGAAAGAAAAAGACAAGTGTTTGTAGGTCCTACACTACGATAAAAAAAACTAGAATTTCAGTAAGAAGGCTGTGCCTGTTATTTTACAGTACAATTGGTTTTTCGATCGATATTTAAAGAAAGAAAATTAAATACGTAGTTTTTAAAATCACTGATATAGTTTTAATATGGCCTTGGGGGGGTCGCCAGAATTTTTTAACTTGTAAAGGAGTCGCGTATTCAAAAAGGTTGAAAAACACTGATAGAGTTAAAATGGTCATTTCCACGGAAATAATTCAATTTATGATATCGAAATTACGGGAACCACTAGGCCTCGCTTTACGACGGTTTTCCATAAACCAATAAGGTCAGAAAAGTGACAGTTTACTGTT